TATATTATTAAAGCTTGCTGGCAGGGCAAGATTACCAAATGGGCCCTGGGGCCCTAGAATTCCAGGGACCCCAAATGGCGAGACACTCCCCGTCCTATTTGCCTCATGTATCTGCACTAGACCCTGATTTGTACCGAAGAGCTTTAATCTAAGACTGCCAATCACACCTCTGGAAGAGCACTTCCATTTTTCTTTTATGATGACATAGGAGGTGACCCTCTTGAAAATAAAACAAGACCAAAAAACTACCCAAATGAAGCACCACAACCTATTAAAAATGATACTCCACCAAAAAAAAGAAAGAAAATTCTCTCATCATTTACTCACCTTCATGTCGTCCAAGATATATATATATGACTTTCTTTCTTCTGTGGAGCACAAACAGAGATTTTTTTGAAAAAATACTCCATCTCTGTGAGTCCATATTATGGAACCTAAAGTTGAAGCTTCAAAAACCACACAAAACAAACAATAATCCATATGACCCCAGTTGATGAATAAATGTCTTCTGAAGCGAAACGATAGGTGTGTGTGAGAAAAATACTGTTATTTTAAACTTTAAAAAAATATACATCTTTCCCACCAACCAACTTTTGTTCTTCTGTGGAGCATGAACACAGATTTTTAGTAAAGAAAATAATTGATCTCTCTATAAGTGACAAAAATGTTTTTCAAATAATTCAACATGGCTTTGGTATAATAACTCTGGGTGGGTTCCAATTTCATTTAGAATTGGTTAATATAGAGATAAATCAAGTAAACACAAGCTTAAGGACATTACTGAAGGAATCCCTAAATTTATTTTTCTGTCTTCTTAAGTTGTGAGTTTATGATGTGAGATTTGATTTTGTGTAATAACCAGTACCAAAGCAAACAGCATTTTTCGAAAGAAATCGATTGAGCACATTCAGACAGTCAGCAGGATTACATCCTCACAATGAGATTCATTGCAAATTGGTCCAAACGATTATAAATGCCATCTTAAACTGATTCACTCTCCCTGTGTTTCTATAATTTGTTGTGTATGTGTGTGCAGAATGCCTCTCAAACGGCTTATAAACAATCAAGTGCGACCTTTGCGAGAGGAGGCGGGCAAATAATGGATAGAATGTGCTAATTCAATTAAGCAAATTGAATAATTGCCTCGGTCAGTGTTCTGGATTGAGCCTATAGCTCAAACGTCCTTGAGATAAATTAAAAGCCAAAATAATTATAAAGCTGGAAGGGGGAGGAGTTCACTGTAGAACAAAACAATGAATCTAGCATTTCTCATGGAATGAAATACCCTATTAGAAAATGTAGCTTATTAGCACACATGCTGTGGCTAAGCACGCAACTTATGTTACGGATTGCTGTGTAGGGTTTCACAGAAGTATTGTGGTCTTCATAAATAGGTGTTGAGTTGGCTGAAGATGGTTCCCTGGAGGCTGAGGTGTCCGTTGGAGCTTAGCTGAGTGTTCTGTTGTGTTGCTCGGCTAGCGTGATGAATACGCTGCCGTATTCACCTTCTATTCTCTCCGATTTCAGCGTAACACAGAAGGATTTATGAACACGGACAAAAAAAAAAAAAACTGCAGAAAGCTTCTGGCTCGAACAACACGCTTTAAAGCCTGCAGCTGAAATCTAGGTTACGGACTGAGTCCACCATTTTTAACTGCACACACAATGTTCTCATTTTTGGTCTCTCTCACTGTCTCTGCCTGTCTGTCTACCTGATTAATTTAGGCTGTCTGTCTGTTGGACTGAGTCGGATTTGAGTTATTAAAGGCTGTTCCATGTGCTCTTTCTCCCGCAAGCATGCAGGGGCAACTATTCCCTCTAATTAGAATTACTCTCATGCAGGGTTGCGCTTTCTCTGGCCACAAACACCCAGTAGCCCCTCACTGCAGAACACAAGATCAAGGGGCCGTGGTTGGATCCACATCTAGGGGGTGGAGATTGGTAGGTTTAGGGATCAGGGGGTGGAGACGGGTAGGTTTAGGTATATGTAAGGTGGGAGGAGTTGGATCTGGATCCAACCTGTTCTGCTCTGTAGTGACAGTTTTTGGCATTGTATGTCACTATGTTTCTGGATGTCAAACAGAGAAAATACATCATGCCCACTTACAATTTGGATGGTTTATGTGGGAAAAGAGAGAATGAGAGTTTGACGCGTGATACATGAATGTGTTTGTGCATGTGTCTGTGTACATTGTAACGTCGACCAGAGTGTTTTAGGATTTGCCCAGATGTCAGGAATAAAAGAAGGAAAATAATACTCATAGACGAGAGTTGGTGATCCCATACGTCTTTATACGTAGCTTCAAATTATCCTCGCACTCTCCGCATACATGGGGGAGAGTGGGGGGAAGATTACAAGACACACTTTGGCAGAATTACAAATAAAAATAATAAAAGAATCAGGATGCTTTCTGGAGCAGAGTATACTAGATACAGTCCGCTATATCACCAGCGCAAACGTTACCCAGGCACACCCACCTAGACAACGCATGACATCACAAGAGATGCCTTAAAGGTACATAACAAATTAGGTGGCCGTTACAACATGTGTATGGCAAAAGAAGAAGACAGTGATGAAAATTCAAGCAGAACTGATTGCATGCTCTGGGGATCATGTTCCAGTTTGATCCTGTGCTGCATGCTAGTGTTGGCTAAACAGGTGCACTGCTGCCACCTAGAGGCTATGTTCGAAATAGCATACTTGCATACTACTTTAGCCTGTTCTGGAATACATGTAGACTAGGTAAACACATTTTCTGCATCCATAAAATACAGATGACCTACTACATTTGCCAATTTGCCACATATCCCAAAATGCACACTGCACAGACTCTCAATGCGATGCATTTAACTTGACCTTCTGTGTCAAAAAATAAAAAAATAGAATTACAGCCAAGATTATTTTTTTCTTTATCTTTGTTTACTCATTACTTGTCCTAATTCACATTTTTGCATTGTTTTTCAGTAAATAAATACATGAATAAACAACTTACTGCACTGGCCATTTTTTCCTTGTCTAAAAAAAAATCATTATTTGATAAATTTAGTGAGGAAAAAGAAACAAAGATTTTTTTTAAGTGCATAATTTCAACAAACAATAATTCTCCATTGTTCCGGAACAAAAGAGCTTGATTATGCTTCATTAGGAATGGATAATTAAGGATGAATTAGTCAAGCTTAATTATGGATGCAACAGATTTACACATAAATATGCACACACACTAAAACCTTGTCACCTTGCAAGACATTTTTTATATATTGAGTGATTTATGAATGTGTTATTGTAAGAACATAAACTTTTCACTAATGAACGATCATTGCTTTAATATTACAAGCCTACAAGGCTGTGGCACTCACTGTAACTGCCGTGACCCTACACAGAATTGTCTCGCAAGCTCAAGAGCCCATTTGAGGGTTGAAATTGAATTTGCCTCTATGATTAGAAATGTCAGAGTGATGAAAAGGCGTACAACTGCCTGAGGTTAAACATGGGAGACATCATTAAAGAAACAGACGCCAGTTTATTCTTCATTAATGGAGACAGAAAAAGAGAGGGAGAAGTAAGACAGAGAGAGAGAGAGAGAGGGAGAGAGTTAGAGGAGAAGGATTTCTATGTATGCTATGCCATGTTTGAGAGGCTGCTGGGCTAATTTGACATTTGAACATTTACTGCACCTCATTACAACTGCTCACAGCTTATTAACCTGTCTGCTGACTGGATAGATCAGGGATGTCCAAACTCAGTCCTGGAGGGCCGGTGTCCTGAAGAGTTTAGCTCCAACCCTAATTAAACACACCTGAACCAGCTAATCAAGCTCTTACTAGGTATAGCAACTTCCAGTCAGATGTGTTGAGGCAAGTTGGAGCTAAACTCTGCAGAACACCGGCCCTCTAGGGCCGAGTTTGGACAGCCCTGGGATAGCTGGACCACACATTCCTCATTGTCATTCTACTATCATTCACTCACCCAAAACCACTTTTACTGAAGTATTTTCCTGAATCAGCATCCTTTGTTGCTCCTGAGGGCAATATTTATATTTAGCCAATCTCAGCCCTTCCTGTAACCCCACCCCCAAAATTAGAAAGCAATGATTGGTTGCGTGTTCCAAATGTGTTGGTCCAGGAACTGTAACTAACACAAATAGTAACGTATCATACTTGTTTCCGACTCATTTAATGGTTCTTTATACATACTGTATAGCAACACCTAAAAGCACTATACCTTCAAAATGATTAACAGCACACAAAATCCAAAACCTGAAAACACCCCACTGATACAATGGGTGTGTCCAAAACAGAAGATATTCCAAATTTCCAGTTTCACTATAAAATACAACAACATACAGTAGGAAAGAAAACTGCAATTGTCAAGTGAATTTATGAGGTCTTTTTAAGGTTTCAGTCCTTATACCATTACCTTCAACCACTTCATCAGGTCCTTTTTTCTTTCAACCCATCACATAATTATCGGATATTACACTGTAGCCAACAAAAGCTACATGGATTATTAATAATGCACCAATGTTTTTGAAAAAGAAACATCTAAACTGAATATGACTATTTCAAATCCAACCATAGTCGATATTAATCAGATATAGAATACTGTAATATTGGAACTTGCATCTGCACAAAAGGACGCAAATGCACAAGTGAACTTGACCGTGCTGGTCAGAATGTGTACCGTAACAACAGGCTAGAAAAATGGTAAATTAAGGCACAAAGAATTTTTCAATATATAGTTCAATAGTGTTCTCATTTTAATGTTATGTATGTGACAGTTTAACAAAGTAAAAGTAATGATTTTTTAAAAAAATTGACAATATTGTTATCATGCATTCTATTGCCGACAATAATCATTGTGAAGTTCCCATATTTTGGACGCAGCCAATAATCAGACACATAGCACAGCCCGTGTAATTAGATTTTCTTAATGATGAGGCAACACCAAAAATCAACTTGATATTACAATCAGCAAAATAAAGCGTAATTGGGTTACTCACGGTCATTGCACTGGGTGCCAGAGTAAGACGTCATGGTGCAGTCGCAGGTGAAGTTCTCCCATTGCTGGATGCATACACCCATGTTGACACACGAATCCTCCTGGCATGTAGTGCTGGGCCCTGATATGGAGGAGACAGGAATATCATGTGTCAATAGTAATGACAGATTTCAGCAGGCATCTCTGTCACAGACAGCACAGCAAGACTAGCGTGCATGCAAGGTCATGCAAGGCTACGCTGAACACTGCTAGAAGAAAAAAAGGTGATATGCAATGTGACTGCACCATCTACACACATTTCTCTTTTCAAAATGTGGGTTCACATTCCACACTTCATAATAGACAATTACTGAATCTTTAAGAGGGAATGCAAACAATTATGTTTACACTCTATCAAGATTCATTTAAATAGAATTATTAAAACCATACTGACATGTCAATTCCAGCAGCTCAGATCACCAATAAAAGAAACCAAGTGTGCATTCAAAACAAAAGCAAAGCCCTGAGTGCGGATGCATGAAAGTCTCCACTGGCTGAAAGTGCTTTTATTGAGTCTGGGAAGCAACTGAAGAATTCTTTCTTTTCTCTTGCTGGTTTCCGTCTCTAATTATTCCCCAACTGAACCCCTCTTGGATGCTTTCAACACAGTATAAATGAGTAATTGCCAAAACATCCATTAAAATGCTTCAGAAGGGGAGAGAATTGTGGCCAATTGCTGTAGAACAGCGGGACACTAGACAATGTCTCAATTTTGATGTGCCTTCAGTGGAAAGCTTTAAGCTGGAATGTTCTTTAAGGAGGATATTTATAGGTTTTGGATTTATTCTTAGTTCCCCTCAGCTACTGCATGTGTCAGCTGTGGACTAAATGAAATGGCATCTACAAAATATATGTACAAAATACTGCAACATTCTATAATTGTATGTTATAGATTTCTGGGGGATAGTTGTTTTCTGGAGGAACATTAATGTAAAAGCTCATTGCAACTTTCAGCCAGGTGTGTGTGTGTATGTGTGTGTATGAGGTAAAAAGGTCGAACCCTCTACCTTGCAGGTCAGCTTTGGTGAAACCAACTTTGTTAGCAGGAAATTTAAGAAAGAATTGGATAACAAAACAAGGTTGGTTAGTTGAGGGAAGGTCAGTCAAGAGAGAGGAAAATGTGTGTGTGAAGGATAATGATAGAGTAACCTGGGCAATAACATTAGTAAGGCAAGGAAAATTAGAATATTTTAGACTAATAGGGCAATTTTTAAATTCTATTCTACTGTTAAACAAATGTATCTCATTCAAATCTTTAACAACAAATAATCTGTGTCTATATTGTACGTGATTGGTAACAGTTAAAATGTAATGCTGTTAACAGGCCCTTGGTCAAGGCGCCATCTAGTGGTCAAAGGGCATCTCGTATTAGCAAAACAGAGAATACCCAGAATTCCAGTGAGGCACAAAAATCTAACTAAAATATAAGTAAAAGACAAAGATTAGAGAGAAAAACAATAGGTGCAGAGGTTAAATCAGGTTTGAATTTAATGGTTTAAACTCAGCAGTGTGTCAGGGATTGGTAGAGATTTAGGTTGAGGTGTGATAAATGGCTTATACTGTACCTTCACAGCCACGTTCGACCTGCCCACTGCGGAACAGAGAATCATTAATGAGGTCAGGCAGACGGCCGTTGAGATCCATGGAAGCTAAGCAGCCCTGGAAACCCTCACGAGACACCACCAGTTTCGGCAGGTTCTGGTACATGTTTGGTCCCAAACCAGCCACAAACAGATCACCTGCAAAGAGTGAAAAAAGATAATATAACTTTGAATTGCTTCAATTACTTTGGCAATTAAATTTTTTCTTGTTTTATGTATAAATCTAATCATATATAGTGAGGTTTATGTGCTCAGTATACAAAATTTCCTGTTTGCTTAAATTTACTAATCTGGTTTTGTTTTAAAGGTATAAAATCAATAACAAATATAATAAAAAATGTCACTAAAAAGGTTAAGCAGAATGAGAGTTTGACGCGTGATACATGAATGTGTTTGTGCATGTGTCTGTGTACATTGTAACGTCGACCAGAGTGTTTTAGGATTTGCCCAGATGTCAGGAATAAAAGAAGGAAAATAATACTCATAGACGAGAGTTGGTGATCCCATACGTCTTTATACGTAGCTTCAAATTATCCTCGCACTCTCCGCATACATGGGGGAGAGTGGGGGGAAGATTACAAGACACACTTTGGCAGAATTACAAATAAAAATAATAAAAGAATCAGGATGCTTTCTGGAGCAGAGTATACTAGATACAGTCCGCTATATCACCAGCGCAAACGTTACCCAGGCACACCCACCTAGACAACGCATGACATCACAAGAGATGCCTTAAAGGTACATAACAAATTAGGTGGCCGTTACAACATGTGTATGGCAAAAGAAGAAGACAGTGATGAAAATTCAAGCAGAACTGATTGCATGCTCTGGGGATCATGTTCCAGTTTGATCCTGTGCTGCATGCTAGTGTTGGCTAAACAGGTGCACTGCTGCCACCTAGAGGCTATGTTCGAAATAGCATACTTGCATACTACTTTAGCCTGTTCTGGAATACATGTAGACTAGGTAAACACATTTTCTGCATCCATAAAATACAGATGACCTACTACATTTGCCACAATGTGCAGTATCCCAAAATGCACACTGCACAGACTCTCAATGCGATGCATTTAACTTGACCTTCTGTGTCAAAAAATAGCGATAAATAATTACAGCCAAGATTATTTTTTTCTTTATCTTTGTTTACTCATTACTTGTCCTAATTCACATTTTTGCATTGTTTTTCAGTAAATAAATACATGAATAAACAACTTACTGCACTGGCCATTTTTTCCTTGTCTAAAAAAAAATCATTATTTGATAAATTTAGTGAGGAAAAAGAAACAAAGATTTTTTTTAAGTGCATAATTTCAACAAACAATAATTCTCCATTGTTCCGGAACAAAAGAGCTTGATTATGCTTCATTAGGAATGGATAATTAAGGATGAATTAGTCAAGCTTAATTATGGATGCAACAGATTTACACATAAATATGCACACACACTAAAACCTTGTCACCTTGCAAGACATTTTTTATATATTGAGTGATTTATGAATGTGTTATTGTAAGAACATAAACTTTTCACTAATGAACGATCATTGCTTTAATATTACAAGCCTACAAGGCTGTGGCACTCACTGTAACTGCCGTGACCCTACACAGAATTGTCTCGCAAGCTCAAGAGCCCATTTGAGGGTTGAAATTGAATTTGCCTCTATGATTAGAAATGTCAGAGTGATGAAAAGGCGTACAACTGCCTGAGGTTAAACATGGGAGACATCATTAAAGAAACAGACGCCAGTTTATTCTTCATTAATGGAGACAGAAAAAGAGAGGGAGAAGTAAGACAGAGAGAGAGAGAGAGAGGGAGAGAGTTAGAGGAGAAGGATTTCTATGTATGCTATGCCATGTTTGAGAGGCTGCTGGGCTAATTTGACATTTGAACATTTACTGCACCTCATTACAACTGCTCACAGCTTATTAACCTGTCTGCTGACTGGATAGATCAGGGATGTCCAAACTCAGTCCTGGAGGGCCGGTGTCCTGAAGAGTTTAGCTCCAACCCTAATTAAACACACCTGAACCAGCTAATCAAGCTCTTACTAGGTATAGCAACTTCCAGTCAGATGTGTTGAGGCAAGTTGGAGCTAAACTCTGCAGAACACCGGCCCTCTAGGGCCGAGTTTGGACAGCCCTGGGATAGCTGGACCACACATTCCTCATTGTCATTCTACTATCATTCACTCACCCAAAACCACTTTTACTGAAGTATTTTCCTGAATCAGCATCCTTTGTTGCTCCTGAGGGCAATATTTATATTTAGCCAATCTCAGCCCTTCCTGTAACCCCACCCCCAAAATTAGAAAGCAATGATTGGTTGCGTGTTCCAAATGTGTTGGTCCAGGAACTGTAACTAACACAAATAGTAACGTATCATACTTGTTTCCGACTCATTTAATGGTTCTTTATACATACTGTATAGCAACACCTAAAAGCACTATACCTTCAAAATGATTAACAGCACACAAAATCCAAAACCTGAAAACACCCCACTGATACAATGGGTGTGTCCAAAACAGAAGATATTCCAAATTTCCAGTTTCACTATAAAATACAACAACATACAGTAGGAAAGAAAACTGCAATTGTCAAGTGAATTTATGAGGTCTTTTTAAGGTTTCAGTCCTTATACCATTACCTTCAACCACTTCATCAGGTCCTTTTTTCTTTCAACCCATCACATAATTATCGGATATTACACTGTAGCCAACAAAAGCTACATGGATTATTAATAATGCACCAATGTTTTTGAAAAAGAAACATCTAAACTGAATATGACTATTTCAAATCCAACCATAGTCGATATTAATCAGATATAGAATACTGTAATATTGGAACTTGCATCTGCACAAAAGGACGCAAATGCACAAGTGAACTTGACCGTGCTGGTCAGAATGTGTACCGTAACAACAGGCTAGAAAAATGGTAAATTAAGGCACAAAGAATTTTTCAATATATAGTTCAATAGTGTTCTCATTTTAATGTTATGTATGTGACAGTTTAACAAAGTAAAAGTAATGATTTTTTAAAAAAATTGACAATATTGTTATCATGCATTCTATTGCCGACAATAATCATTGTGAAGTTCCCATATTTTGGACGCAGCCAATAATCAGACACATAGCACAGCCCGTGTAATTAGATTTTCTTAATGATGAGGCAACACCAAAAATCAACTTGATATTACAATCAGCAAAATAAAGCGTAATTGGGTTACTCACGGTCATTGCACTGGGTGCCAGAGTAAGACGTCATGGTGCAGTCGCAGGTGAAGTTCTCCCATTGCTGGATGCATACACCCATGTTGACACACGAATCCTCCTGGCATGTAGTGCTGGGCCCTGATATGGAGGAGACAGGAATATCATGTGTCAATAGTAATGACAGATTTCAGCAGGCATCTCTGTCACAGACAGCACAGCAAGACTAGCGTGCATGCAAGGTCATGCAAGGCTACGCTGAACACTGCTAGAAGAAAAAAAGGTGATATGCAATGTGACTGCACCATCTACACACATTTCTCTTTTCAAAATGTGGGTTCACATTCCACACTTCATAATAGACAATTACTGAATCTTTAAGAGGGAATGCAAACAATTATGTTTACACTCTATCAAGATTCATTTAAATAGAATTATTAAAACCATACTGACATGTCAATTCCAGCAGCTCAGATCACCAATAAAAGAAACCAAGTGTGCATTCAAAACAAAAGCAAAGCCCTGAGTGCGGATGCATGAAAGTCTCCACTGGCTGAAAGTGCTTTTATTGAGTCTGGGAAGCAACTGAAGAATTCTTTCTTTTCTCTTGCTGGTTTCCGTCTCTAATTATTCCCCAACTGAACCCCTCTTGGATGCTTTCAACACAGTATAAATGAGTAATTGCCAAAACATCCATTAAAATGCTTCAGAAGGGGAGAGAATTGTGGCCAATTGCTGTAGAACAGCGGGACACTAGACAATGTCTCAATTTTGATGTGCCTTCAGTGGAAAGCTTTAAGCTGGAATGTTCTTTAAGGAGGATATTTATAGGTTTTGGATTTATTCTTAGTTCCCCTCAGCTACTGCATGTGTCAGCTGTGGACTAAATGAAATGGCATCTACAAAATATATGTACAAAATACTGCAACATTCTATAATTGTATGTTATAGATTTCTGGGGGATAGTTGTTTTCTGGAGGAACATTAATGTAAAAGCTCATTGCAACTTTCAGCCAGGTGTGTGTGTGTGTGTGAGGTGAAAAAGTCAAACCCTCTACCTTGCAGGTCAGCTTTGGTGAAACCAACTTTGTTAGCAGGAAATTTAAGAAAGAATTGGATAACAAAACAAGGTTGGTTAGTTGAGGGAAGGTCAGTCAAGAGAGAGGAAAATGTGTGTGTGAAGGATAATGATAGAGTAACCTGGGCAATAACATTAGTAAGGCAAGGAAAATTAGAATATTTTAGACTAATAGGGCAATTTTTAAATTCTATTCTACTGTTAAACAAATGTATCTCATTCAAATCTTTAACAACAAATAATCTGTGTCTATATTGTACGTGATTGGTAACAGTTAAAATGTAATGCTGTTAACAGGCCCTTGGTCAAGGCGCCATCTAGTGGTCAAAGGGCATCTCGTATTAGCAAAACAGAGAATACCCAGAATTCCAGTGAGGCACAAAAATCTAACTAAAATATAAGTAAAAGACAAAGATTAGAGAGAAAAACAATAGGTGCAGAGGTTAAATCAGGTTTGAATTTAATGGTTTAAACTCAGCAGTGTGTCAGGGATTGGTAGAGATTTAGGTTGAGGTGTGATAAATGGCTTATACTGTACCTTCACAGCCACGTTCGACCTGCCCACTGCGGAACAGAGAATCATTAATGAGGTCAGGCAGACGGCCGTTGAGATCCATGGAAGCTAAGCAGCCCTGGAAACCCTCACGAGACACCACCAGTTTCGGCAGGTTCTGGTACATGTTTGGTCCCAAACCAGCCACAAACAGATCACCTGCAAAGAGTGAAAAAAGATAATATAACTTTGAATTGCTTCAATTACTTTGGCAATTAAATTTTTTCTTGTTTTATGTATAAATCTAATCATATATAGTGAGGTTTATGTGCTCAGTATACAAAATTTCCTGTTTGCTTAAATTTACTAATCTGGTTTTGTTTTAAAGGTATAAAATCAATAACAAATATAATAAAAAATGTCACTAAAAAGGTTAAGCGAATCTTGTATGGCTGACCTTTCAGGTCCAGATTTTTCGCTCCGTTGACCACCTGGCTGACAGACTTGGCGTCCACCTTTAGTGTGTGTGTGTTGCTGGCATCTCGAGTGATCACCACATTGTGCCACTGGTTGTCATTAAGAGGACTGTCGCTGTTTCCTTTGAGAAGACTCGGTCCATTTCCCAGGTCAAACACATAGTGAATATACCTGACAAACATACAAACACACATACACACTGAGCTCAAATGTGTTCATGTCCCAAATCCATTCAAGTGCACTTCACTGAAGAACACTCAGCTAAAGCACACACTGAAGCAAACTCAGCAGATCAGCTGAGAGGCTCTCTATCAGAAGACAATGAGAGTGGAAACTTGTTTTAAGAGGTACAGGTTTTATGTTCTGCTAGAGGATAGGCCAAGTGGCTCGGTCTGTTTGGATGGACAAGGCTAACTTTGCTTCTACATTCACACCTGGGTCCCAGGTCAAGAAGCAGACAAACTGACTAAACCGACCGTCTGCTGGCCACCTCACGTCGCAGAAGTCAGTTAATTCTAAGCACACAGAGACTATTTCACCTAGATATGATACTATAGAGACTGTCTGTTCCCCGAACTAGCAAATACAAAACATGTCCAAACCAATTTAAGGGTAACAATTTAATTGATGTTCAATAAATAAAAAAACGACATAATACAGATTAACAAATGATAAAGCTTGGCTTAAATAATACTAGATCCCTTTCTATAAAAGCGCTTTTTTTTAAATGATATGATCACATATAACCTAGATGTGCTCTGTTTGACAGAAACCTGGCTAAAACCAGAAGATTACATTACTTTAAATGAGTCTACCCACAAGATTACTGTTATAAACATGAGCCACATCCAAAAGGTAAAGGGGGGCATGTTGCTAAATAATTAGTTTGAAGTAATGGTGATTCATATAACATTATCTAGAGTAATAAGTGTTAATGATAAAACCCCTGACATTTGTACTGGCTACTGTATACAGGCCACCATGCAGACTTTATCAAATAATTTGCTGATTTTAGTTTTTTGCTGAATTAGTCCTGACTGCAGATAAAGTCTTAATTGTTGGTGATTTTAATATCCATGTTCATAATGAAAAAGATGCATTGGGATCAGCATTTATAGACACTGAATGTAATGGTCGGCACCTCTCTCCGACTCATTCCTGCTGTTCATCCGTGTTTTGTCTCTCTCTGCGGCACATGGTGGTTTGTTATTTTCCTGTCATCTGCTATTGCACATGGGGGAGCAATCAGCGCTAACTTGCAGCGCTGTGTGCTCCTCTAATTGCGCACCTGTTACTCGTTTCCCCTTCCTATTTATTCCCGTCGATGGCTTCTCTCTGTGTCAGTATGTCATTTGTGTTATGTCTGCCCTTACCATGTATGTTTTGCGATATCGCTGCTTATCATTTTTGGTACTGTGTCCAGGATCCTCAGGCGAGGATTAATTAATCCACTGGATAAAGTGTCTGGACTGGAAGCACTAGAACTGAACTCTTCTCTGTCATCCTCCCAGCCATCAGTCCAGTTGGTGTGGGCACTGGGAGCCCCGTTTTTGTTATCCGAAGTTTCTAATAAACTTCATTCCTTTTTTTGGCACAGCACTTGAGTCCTCCTGTTTTTACACAGCATTTTTGTGACACTGAAATTTACTTTTTCTAGCACTTTAGATACATTTGCTCCTTTATGCTTAAAGAAGACTAAGGAAAACAGTCCGACACCGTGGTATGATGAGCACACTTGCACCCTAAAGAAAGCTGCCCGGAAAATGGAGTGCAGCTGGAAGAAAATAGCACTAGAGGTATTTCGTCTTGCATGGAGGGAAAGTACTTCTACTTTCAGAAAAGCTCTAAAAATCAGTAGATCTGCTTACTTTTCGTCTCTTTTAGAAGAAAATAAACACAACCCCATGCATTTATTCAATTCAGTGGCTAAATTAATGACAAAGCTTCAACAGGTGAAGCCATTTCCCAAAAGCACAGCAATAATGACTTTATGACCTTCTTTATTTCCATGATTGATACTATTAGAGATAAAATTCTAACCATACAGCCGTCAGCTACCGTATCACATCAGACAGTGAACTACAAATCCCCTGGGGAACAATTTCACTCATGTGCTATAGTAGAGGAAGAATTGTATAAACTTAATCAAAGTCAACATGTTCAACCCTATTCCATCTAAGCTACTAAAAGAGGTACTTCCAGAAGTCATAGATCCTCTTCTGAATATTAATTCACCAGTGTAATTTGGATATGTACCAAAATCCTTCAAACTGGCTGTTGTTAAGCCTCTGATTTAAAAAACACAACTTGATCCTGGAGAATGTTAATTCCAGACCTGTAATTGATCTAAAATCCATTTTCTGTCAAAGATACTAGAAAAGGCAGTAACCTCAAAACTATGTCCCTTCTTAGAAAGAAATTGAATCTGTGATGATTTCCAGTCAGGATTTAGACCTTATCATAGTACTGAGACGGCTCTCATCAGAGTTACAAATGACCTGAACTTATCATCTGATCGTGGTTGTATCTCTCTCTACTAGTAGTGCTACTGGATTTTAGCGCTTCGGTTGACACTATTGACCACAACATTCTTTTGAATAGACTACAAAATTATGTTGGCATTAGTGGAATTGCATGGGCATGATTCAAATCTTACTTATCTGACAATCATAAATTCACAACAGTGAATGAAGAGGTATCATATCAATCACAAGTATAGTATGGAGCACCACAGGGCTCAGTACTAGTACCGCTGCTTTTCACGCTTTACATGTTACCCTAGGGAGATATCATCAGGATACATGGTGTTAACTTTCATTGTTATGCTGATGCTACTCAGCTCTATATTTCTTCGCGGCCCGACAAAACATACCAATTCGCAAAACTAAAAGAATGCATAGTTGATATAAAAAAACTGGATGGCTAGTAATTTCCTACTGCTAAATTCTGAAGAAAAAAAAACGGGGGTGTTAATTATTGAACCAAAAACCTCTGCATGTAATAACCTAAAACACTGTCTAACACTTGATGGCTGCTCTGTCAATTCTTCATCATCAGTTAGGAACCTAGGTGTGCTATTTGAGAGCAATCTTTCTTTTGAAAACCATGTTTCTAGCATTTGTAAAACCAAATTTTTCCATCTTAAAAATATATCTATATTATGACCTATGCTCTCAATGTCAAATGCAGAAACGCATATGATCTTATCACATTATATTCCTTCTCGTCCGGTGTGATCTCAAAACTCTGGCCATTTAATAGTACCTAGAATATCAAAATCAACTGCGGGTGGCAGATCCTTTTCCTATTTAGCACCCAAACTAGATTAAAGACCCATCTCTTTAACCTGACATACACATAATTCACTATCACATTTCTATAATTCAAATCCATTTAAGGATTGTTAGGCTGCATTAATTAAGTCAACCGGAACTGGGAACACTTTCTATAACACCTGATGTACTCGTAACATCGTAAGAAGAATGGCATCTACTATTAGTCTATTGTTTCATTCTCATTCCGAGGTCACTATAGCCACCCGGATCCAGTCCGTTTCCAGACCAGATAGTGGATCAGCACCTAGAGATGAACTCTACAACCTGAATGTCAGTGGAGACCATGTCAACTAGAAGAGCCTCAGAGACAGATCCCATGCAAAGACTTCGTCAACTAGACGGCCATCAGGACAAGACTAAGATAACCAGATGAGCACTCTTCACAATCTGAATTGTATTGCAGCCTGGAATTTAAACACATCATGCTGGTTTCATCTGGCCAGAGGAAAACTGGCCCCCCCAACTGAGCCTGGTTTCCCCCCTCCATTTCTGTCACCAATGGAGTTTTGGTTCCTTTGGCCTTTAGCTTGCTTAGTCGGGGACACAAAATGTCTGGCAATACTGTCAGCTTAATTGATCAAACACTAGCTGAACTGGATGATGACATCACTGAATCAACAATGAACAGACTTTAACTGAAAAATTTACTGTTTTGTTATTGTCCTCTTGAATTACTGACAAACTATTCTCCTGTCCAACACTGTAAAGCTGCTTTGACACAATCTGTATTGTATAAAGCGCTATATAAAAAAAGGTGACTTGACTTGACAAGTGTGCTCCCAGCAACCAAGTATTTGGTTTCAATACTTGTTTGTTTGTTTCATTTACCCTTAGTTTATACTAAGCATATAATGCTAGAATCATCTAATATTTGGCAAGGGTAAATTATCTGTTGTGTCAGCCTTACACAATATCTTACACTGAAGAAAACATAAAGAGTGAAATATTTAGCAGGAAATAATGGAGGATGGGACGCCATCTGGATTTGACTGAATAAATTGGGCTATGATCAGTATTATTGGATTTTACTGAGTCAACATAATTTTTCCTCTGCCTGCACAGTTCCGATTACACCAACAAAAAAGTTTTGCTGGTTACACCAACAAAAAAAGCATTATTACACTTTGATAAAGATTGTCAAAACAAATCGATTGAAATGTGCACAACTGGACATGACTTCAAACATTTTACTTTACATTATGATTCTCTCCACATTAAAATTTGGTCTGAATTTCTTGCATTTTAAACATACCAGTATAACCTCTTTGGTAATCAGTAATAGATAATAAATGTTGTTTCTGAATGTATCAACATTAATAATAAATGAACATGTATATCAACATTAATAATAAAAGTACAGCTCAATGGGGTTGGCTAATTCCAAAAATTAAAATAAATCTGAATTCAAAACTCAATTTCAAACTTTTCTTTTTTTAAATCTTATATTATGTTCTTATATTAAGTCTCGAGAAGCCTCTGGAAACTAAGGTAAAAGTCTCTGTAATAGAACATTTTCACAGTGCTTTTGTGTACTTGCATGTTGTTTCAAAGACACGATGGATCAAATGTTTTAAATTAGTGCTTAGAGTATTATCACATGCTCATAATACTCAAAAAGATAATCACAAGTCGCCACCTGCTGGTGTGAACAGATTTAAAAGATTTGTGTCACTGGGATAAAACAAAATACCCAGTACAAGCTGTTCTCTACCCAAAAATGTAATGATGCAAATTACAGCAAGACTCATAAATCTTTTTGGTGAACATACCTGTATTATTATATACATTCTTTGGAATGAATCAAATTCCCCACCATTAGCTGTTCATTGTATTCTGGGGTGTGTAGTAGTTTGGTAATCTTGAAAATTAACACACTTACGGTGCATGTCTCAGCCTGAGTGAAACTGACTTCCAACACCCCAGAATGGGCTCTATATGGGGCCGACTCCCAACCTTTCCTGTCAACCTCAATAAAATGGCCATTTGGTAAAACCTTGATTCTGTGGGAACTTTGTTGACTTGGAGCTCTCTACTTCCACTCACCCTTTGACAAGCTCCACGGCAATAAAATCATTCCCATCTCCACTGTTGAAGAGAATGAATCCATCACCCGAGGTAGTTTTGAACTGAAAGAAGAGGTGCATGGTGCTATAAGCCTGGAGTGTAGCAAGACCCAGATAGCTTCCTTTGGTCTTGAAGGTAACTGGATCTGCCACAATGGAGCGCATGCCAAAACGAGCATTGAGCTCGCAGAATTCGATGTCCCCATTCTTGCACATGTCAATGTAGAGGAGGCTGTTGAACTTTAGGCCTTGCAGGTGACCAATGAAGTTGGATGGAGCTGTGGAGGCAAACCGACGTTCTGTCAGGATTCCGGTCTCAATGTTACTAAACTCCAGCCGAGTGTGGTCACCATTCATCTGACCTGTGAAAGAAGAACAGGAGGTCGTGGTAAAGTGATTAGTAAGTGATGGATTAATGCATTACATGGGGTCAGCTGCTGAAAAACTGTTCTGAAAAGATTATACTGCATTCATACCTTCAGCTACATCATCATCCACTATGAGTTTGAGGTTTTTACCACGCCGCATCACTTTGACTGAGTGCCAATCATTGTCGTTCACTTTCTGGCCAGCGTACAATGTCTCTGGTCCTTTACCTGAGAATGATGTGTGTCAGTTAGTGTTTACACACACTAGCCCTGCAAATAAAATTTCTGGCTTCTCAACATTTTAATTAATCATATCATGTGCAAAAAATTTGGTCTAAATTTTCAAACTTCTGTCATCAAGATGATAGATGGCAAAAATGGTTTTACATATTATAACTGCGGTGCATCAATAGTTCCTAGGAAAATCAGCATTTTTAAAAAACATGAAACAGAACTAAGGTTTGGCTGAGGTATATGTTGAATACTGTAGCTTATTCATACCACAGAAATGGTAAGTACACTAGTACGCTAGTAATTCAATCCAAACACAGTCGTGACATTTATTTTTTAAGGGCGCATTGTCATACAGATACTTAGTCTGCACTAACAGAAGTACCGGTTGAGAACACTGATTGTTGTACTGATTTACTGGTTCCATTAACATAACCTGCTCGAATATACTGAGTCTTTAAACTTAAAAATTATAGAGCACGAGGCAAAGTGCCTCTCTAAAAGCATTGTAGAATTAAAATGGTTAATCAGTACTAAATTACCACTTACATTTCAGCCATTCTGCTGTTAATTGAAGAACATGCTTAATAAACAAAAACCTCTAATTGACTCCAAAAAGCTACAGAGATGACTCTCTAAATGACCTGACCTGCGTGTTTATATACATCTAGAAAAGCAAGAGAGTATAGAGTTTTTATAGTTTAAAATGCTGAGGTATTACACCACATTATTAAAAGTCCCAATTGATTGAAATTGATTTATAAATTTGCCTTTCACCATCATTTATAGAGAAATACAAAGTCTTTTTATATAATTTATTGATTATCACAGCCATATAGAATTGGGGTGTGTGTGTGTGCTTGTTGCTTTTATTTTCATCAACAAATCAATCACAAAAATAGGTATGTCTGTTAAGATATATAATAAATAAATATCATACATATTTATAAATATAACCACGTAAAACATATTTAATGGTGTTAAATATCTTTCATTACTATTGAATTAACAACAAACAGCCCTTTATATTCACAGGCTCAAAGTCTTCTGTTGTAGTCATGTAAGATGGTTCTATATAGTTAATTATTACTATTTTAACTGAGTACTGTCAGTTCAGTGGCTAATACAATTTTTAAATTTTAATTTTATTATAGTCCATTTTCAGAGTTTAAAATCACAGCATGGTCATGTGGTGCTACCTGTTACTTTTCTAACCACTAGGATGGGCAAATCACTGTTGTTTGTAAATACTGGACCTTTATTATTATTATTATTATTATTATTATTATTATATAAATCATTATTATTATTTATATCACTTAAAAAAGAAATTGCTGGGATGAGCTCACAAGTGCCCTTGAGGAAGACAGCTTTGATTCACACAGAAAACTGTAATCAAACTGTTACTTTAGTGGAGTGCAGCGGAAACCACCCACATTTTTTCATATAAATTTTCTCTATAGAGAAGAAAAACGTATTCAAAGTTGTGTCAAGTCATGAACCAAACCAAGCAGCGCCAAAATGAATTATATTACGACATTTGATTTGAAGCAAAAAAAGCAAGTGAAAATTATTAAAAATAAATCAATAAAAAAGGTGCAAGACTATGTACACACAGAGATATGTAAGTATGCATATAGTAGAAGTATGTATGTAAGTATATTGAATCAGAAACCATAGTACAATATAGGATAAAGACAAAATAAATACAAATATAATTAGATTAACAATACTAACTTCAAATTTGCAATATGAGAGTAAACGGCTCACAGCTGAGCCAAATTTTGCAGCAGTTTCCTTTTGATGTTAACTACAATTTATCAGAATAATTTGTTACTGAATTTGAAATCACACTGATTTGTGGCTTCTACAGAAGCATATTTCAAAATGTAACATCCTCAGAGCTTATGGTAGATCTGTATTCATTTGACTAAAATCATTTATCTTTGGAGAAAAGGAATGGGATTTTACTTCTGGAACCTGAATCAATAATATTAATAATTATTATTTAATAATTATTATAATATATACTAATAATAATAATTTAAAATAGTCATTCAATCTTAACCTTACAAATCTCTGATGAAGAAGGGGATTATAAACTAGAGACTTTTAGATGAGTAAAAGCAGTTGTACTTTTTCAGAGGAGCATTACAAAATCTTTAAAACAGCATTATTTAAAAATGCTTAAATATTAACATTTAACAGCTTTAAAACATGGACAGGGATCAATAGTTTGGACTTTATCCTTATTTATGATCATTGTCCTTAAAAAACCCTTTGATTTAAAGGCTTAGGCTTAAATGAAATGACACTAAAAATTAGAGTGGTGAATTAAACATTTCGAGCACATATGAGAAGTCATTCAGTGCTGTTTAAAAGCATCTTAAGGCAGGAATACACTACATAATTTTTGCCCAGATTTTCCCTCGATTAGTTTGGATAATTCGACACTAGTTGCCAAAATTCAGAGCCAGTCTGCAGACTTGAGTTGACAGATTTCATAGAAAATCAGGTAATGCATGATGGTCACAGACTTTTTTTTTAGCTTCAGACTATGATTACCTCCCGTCGGAGGATATCATACATGTTCGATATTTTCAGCAGATTTTAGGATGCATATTCAGTGTTGCCAACTTAGCGACTCTGTGAATATTGCAAAGTCGGTAAGTGTATGATGCCCAGTGTTTTAAAATCTGTTCTGATTTTAAAAGTTGTGTATTCCAGTCTTTAGGATGCACCTCTTAGAGCTTGCTAATAGTGTTCAGAAGAATGTTCAGAGCTGTAATCTAGGCAGAGTGATGACTTGGAAGAAATTCAATCATAAAATAGTTTTGATTTATTTAACATTTGCCATACTTCTATTTTTGTTATTTCATAGCTTGATGACTTTACTGTTAATCTAACCCAGGGTTTCCCTAATGGGGGTTAGCAAACCCTTGGGGGTCCATGAAGGAACTGCAGGGAGTTCGTGAGTATATGAAAAGCTAATATTTAAGTTTTCCTTTCTCTTTGGAGTGTTACAAGCTGTTCGTCAATAGATAAGATCCCTAAAGTTGCAAAGACTAAAGTCTCAAACCCAAAGAGATATTATTTATAAAAGTTAAGACTCGTCCACGCCCTCCTAAAACACCTTGTTCAAACACGCCCCCACATGTCTACGTCACGATATGGGAAGATTTGCATAACACCGCCCAAATGTATATGCAAAGAAAGGTGTAACTTTGATTCTCGCTGTAGTATTGTTTCCGCCGCCGCCATGTGTTTCGTTGTGAAAGCGAAACTACTTTGTTTGGCCTTCCAAAAGAGGACACAACTAGAAATCAGTGGTTAAGTTGTATTTACAACACTGTTCCAGAACAGTTCAAACCAAATATTCAGATGTGTGCAACGCATTTTACGGAGGACGAGGACTGTTTCCAGGGGGAGCAGCCTACAATGCAGGTGTTCCGGTGAATTCAGTTCCCCTGTTTCCCCTTCGGCGCGCATGCTGACCCTTTACAGTCTATGATGCTGACAAATAAAGCTGACTCAGAGCCTGTAAGTACGTTTTCATATTTAAAGGATTTGCCACTGATGATTCAAACGCGAGTTTTGAGCAGTGTAGAGTAGCACTTGTTGTTTGTCGTTTCTCCGATCACAAATGCAGACATGGTTTTATGTTTACGCGGCGCGATGCAATGCAACGCGCAAAAAGACAGTATAAGTAATATCATCATAATCAGTAATTATGTCCCCACTGGATGCAACAAATGCCTCGTTTATAATGGGTTTTATAGGTTTTGTCTCGTCGCTCCGGCCGGACAAGGCATCACAGTATGATAAGGGGTGTAACATTTCAGTCACACGCTTGAGGAATTCGGCCAATCACAATGCACTGGATAGCTGGCCAATCACAGCACACCTCGCTTTTCAGAACAATGAGCTTTGTAAAAATCAAGCTTTGTAAGAGTTTTTGAACCTTAAACCACATAAACACATTTCATTACACCAAATACACAAAATAATGTTCTTTTTAGCAATGTCAAATGACCCCTTTAATTTAATATTAAAATCAATATATAATATATAGCTTATAGTGATGTGTGAAATCTTGATGCGGTTATCAAATCAAAAGCTGTGATTTAATTAATTAAGTACTGTCATTAACTGCTTCTCACAAACTCCGTGTCTGTATGAGCAGTGAGTTTAATGAGCACTGGGGATGTATTTTCAACATAGTGCACAGATGTTTACAGCATTTCATCAGCAACCCACCAGTATAAAAGCTCAAAGATTTGAACGTTTGAAAGTGAAGAATTTAAAACATAAATTAAAACGTATTGTAATTATACTATTGTAAAATCATTGTTGAGCCTACAATTATCAAATATTAATTAAAGAAATTAATTGATTGAATTTATTATTGAATATATATATATATATATATATATATATATATATATATATATATGTGTGTGTGTGTGTGTGTGTGTGTGTGTGTGTGAAAA